CAACATGTTTCGGGTGTCAGGTTCAATGAGACATGAAAAATGTTTCAATAGAAACAGAAAGGTAAGTGCAAAGTAAAGAATAATTAACATGGGGGGGAAGGGAGGGAGAGCATTAGGACAAATGCCTAATGTATGTAGGGCTTAAAACCTAGATGATAAGTTGATAGGTGCAGCAAACCACATGGCACATGTATACCTGTGTAACAAACATGCATGTTCTGCACATGTATCGCAGTATTTAAATTTTTTTTAAAAAGAATAATATAACTATTTTATTTTGATATCATATGGAGGAACAATTACATTAAATGTGAGCACTAAATTTATAGTTTTGTAGTGGAATAAAATACAGTATCAATATACCTCAAGCTGAAGGTGATGATTTAACATTTTTTATCATCTAAAAATAAAACAAGCTGGGCACAGTGGCTCACGCCTGTAATCCCAGCACTTTGGGAGGCCAAGGTGGGAGGATCACTTGAGCCCAGGAGTTCGAGACCAGCCTGGGCACCACAGGGAGACCCTGTCTGCAAATGAAAAAAATCAGCTGGGCATGGTGGCTTGTGCCTGTAGTCTCAACTACTCAGGAGGCTAAGGCGGGAGGATAGCTTGAGCCCAGGAGGTTGAAGCTCAAGCTATTCTCCTGTACCACTGTACTCCAGCCCGGGTGACAAAGTGAGAGAGACCCTGTCTCAAGAAAATAAAAGAGAACTAAAAATAAAACATCTTTTTTGGTGTGATAAAGCTGCTACAGAAAAAGAAACAATAATTTTGTATGGTTTCTGATTTTCCATTTTTAAACATCTTTTATTATCTAGATCCCTTCCTGAAGAGTTGAACAAAAACCTGTTTGAAACTCAGAATACATTTTAAATATATTAAGCCTTGAAAAAATTAAGTAACCCATTGGTGTGGGGAAAAGAAAGAGAGATCAGACTGTTACTGTGTCTATATAGAAAGAAGTAGACATAAGAGACTCCATTTTGTTCTGTATTTGAGATGCTGTTAATCTGTGAGCCTACCCCCAACCCTGTCCTTGCAAGAGACACCTGCTGTGGTGACTCAAGGTTTAATGGATTTGGGCTGTGCAGGGTGTGCTTTGTTAAACAAGTGCCTGAAGGCAGCTTGCTGGTTAAAAGTCATCACCATTCTCTTAATCTCAAGTACCCAGGGACACATACACTGCGGAAGGTCACAGGGACCTCTGCCTAGGAAAGCTAGGTATTGTCCAAGGTTTCTCCCCATGTGATAGTCTGAAATATGGCCTCGTGGGAAGGGAAAGACCTGATTGTCCCCCAGCCTGACACCCGTGAAGGGTCTGTGCTGAGGAGGACTAGTGTAAGAGGAAAGAAGGCCTCTTGGCAGTTGAGATAGAGAAAAGCATCTGTCTCCTGCCCGTCCCTGGGCAATGGAACATCTCGGTGTAAAACCCCATTGTATGTTCTGTTTACTGAGATGGGAGAAAACTGCCTTAGGGCTGAAGGTGGGATGTGCTAACAGCAAGGCTACTCTTTATACACTAAAAAGGTTTATGGAGATGTTTGCATATGCGTATCAAGGCACAGCACTTTTCCATAAACTTACTCATGTCACAGAGATCTTTATTCATATGTCTTACTGCTGACCTTCTCCCTGTGATGATCCTATTATCCTGCCACTTCCCTTTTCCTAAGATGGTAAAGATAATGATCAATAAGTACTGAGGGAACTCAGAGACCGGTGCTGGCACGGGTCCTCTGTATGCTGAGCGCCGGTCCCCTGGGCCCACTTTTTCTTTCTCCATACTTTGTCTCTGTGTCTCATTTCTTTTCTCAAGTCTCTCGTTCCACCTAATGAGGAACGCCCACAGGTGTGAAGGGGCAGGCCACCCCTTCGTATTGGTGAATACTTCTGTTAAAATGTTTATTTCTTGGCCCTCTCCTGCAGCCTGAGGCGGCGGCAGCATGGAGGGCCAGAGCACGTCGGTGGCGCTCTCGGGCTTTGTGCTCAGCGTACTCCCCTTCCAGCACCTCAGTACGGACTCAGAGACAGTATTCTTGGGGAAGTAAAAATTGAAGCCAAAAATAGTATTACTGGGGCCGGGCACGGTGGCTCACTCTTGTAATCCCAGCACTTTGGGAGGCCGAGGTGGGCGTATCACAAGGTCAGGAGTTCGAGACCAGCCTGGCCAACACAGTGAAACGTTGTCTCTACTAAGAATACAAAAATTAGCTGGGCGTGGTGGCAGGCACCTGTAATCTCTGTAATCTCTACTAAGAATACAAAAATTAGCCGAGCGTGGTGGCGGGCGCCTGTAATCCCAGCTACTCAGGAGGCTGAGGCAGGAAAATTGCTTGAATCCGGGAGGCAGAGGTTGCAGTGAGCCAAGATCGGGCCACTGCACTCCAACCTGGGTGACAGAGCTAGACTCCACCTCAAAAAAAAAAAGCATTACTGATTCCCAAATGGATGATGTTGAAGTTGTTTATACAATTGACATTGAGAAATATATTCCATGCTATCAGCTTTTTAGCTTTGATAATTCTTCAGGTGAAGTAAAGGAGCAAGCACTGAAGAAAATATTATCAAATGTCACAGAATGTGGTAGGTTGGTACAAATTCCATCGTCATTCAGATCAGATCATCACATTTAGAGAGAGACTGCTTCACAAAAACTTGCAGGAGCGTTTTTCAAACCAAGACCTTGTTTTTCTGCTATGAACACCAAGTATCATAACAGAAAGCTGCTCTACTCATCGACTGGAACATGCCTTATATAAACCTCAAAAAGGACTTTTTCACAGGGTTTTAGTGGTTGCCAACCTGGGCATGTCTGAACAACTAGGTTATAAAACTGTATCATGTTCCTGTATGTCCGCTGGTTTTAGCCGAGCACTACAAACACACAGCTCTAAATTTTTGGAAGATGGATCCTTAAAGGAGGTACACAAGATAAAAGAAATGTATGCTTCATTACAAGAGGAATTAAGAGTATATGCAAAAAAGTGGAAGACAGTGAACAAGCAGTAGATAAACTAGTAAAGGATGTAAACAGATTAAAAAGAGAAATTGAAAAAAGGAGATGAGCCCAGAGTCAGGCAGCACAAGAGAAGAGAATCCAAAAACCCTCAGGAGAACATTTTTCTTTGTCAAGCATTACGGACCTTTTTTCCAGAATCTAAATTTCTTCATTCATGTGTTATGTCTTTAAAAAATAGACATGTTTCTAAAGGTAGCTGTAACAACAACCACTATCTCGATGTTGTAGACAATCTGAACTTAATGGTAGAACACACTGACATTCCTGAAGCTAGTCCAGCTAGTACACCACAAATGATTAAGCATAAAGCCTTAGACTTAGCTGGCAATTCAAGAGATCATGGCGGGCGGATCACGAGGTCAGGAGATCAAGACCATCCCGGCTAACACGGTGAAACCCCGTCTTTACTAAAAATAAAAAAATTAGCCGGGCGCGGTGGCGGGCGCCTGTACTCCCAGCTACTCGGGAGGCTGAGGCAGGAGAATGGTGTGAACCCAGAAGGTGGAGCTGGCAGTGAGCCGAGATAGTGCCACTGCACTCCAGCCTGGACAACAGAGCAAGACTCGTGTCAAAAAAAAGAGATCATGGCTGTTAGACACACAAGACAAACCATCTAAAACAGATACTGATAGTAGTAACCAAAAAAAAAAGCATCCAAAATGAGCAGCCCAGAAACAGCTGAAGAGACTGAAAAAGATGAAGGTTTTGGTGAACATTCACCGTCTCCCACGTTTTGATCCTTTTAACCTTAAAAGGACATTTTTTAATTTGGCTGATGGGTAAAGCCAAACATTTTTATTGTTTTTACTAGGTTGAGCTACTTGCTTACCTAGTAAAGGTAAGTTCATTTGTTTTTACTATGTTCACCTGTTTGCAGTAATCCACAGATAAGTCTTAGTGCATTTATTTTACAAAGTACTTTTTTGAACATCAGATGCTTTTATTTCCAAACCTTTTTTCACCTTTCAATAAGTTGTTGGGGGAAAGGCTTACACAGACACATTCTTTAGAATTGGAAAAGTGAGGCCAGGCACAGTGGCTCACAGCTATACTCCCAGCACTTCGGGAAGACAAGGCAGGAGGACTGATTGAGGTCAGGATTTAGAGACCAGCCTGGGCAACACAGAACCATCTCATTAAAAAAGAAAAGTATCAGAAAAGCAAGAATAGCCTCATTTTCACAATGTGGGAAGAAATTTATATGAAAGTTTATCTGAGTCATTAAAATTCTCCTTAAGTGATAATTTTTTAGAAGTACACTATGGCTAGAGTTGCCAGATATAATGCTGTGTATCACGCAATAAATTTGCAAAACATGATCTAAAATTTAAATTTGTCCTACATTTGTACTTGCTAAATCTGGCAGCCTTAATTATTATGCAACTATAACCCAACACAAACAGTAATGTCTCCCCTACTTTAGAGTCCTTTGCCCGAAATTTAGCAAATCCATAATTTTGAGTACAGTATAAGCCTGGTAATCCAGTGTGTTTGGGACAGGTCAGTGGAACTCAGAACTGATACATATATACATACATGTTTATCACCTTCAGTGTCTATTAGATATAAATCATCTTTTTATGTAAAAGACACTACTGGTTTGAGGATAGACTTGTCTAGGAATATTTTGTCTTCTTGTTGACAGCACCACTATACATCCCAATGTAACATTTCTACAAAGGGAGGATCTCTTAACCAGGCGTACTTACATTTGCTAGTTAGAAAATCATTCTGAGCAGTTTTAACTCCCTTCAATTGAATGGTGTATTACATTATATGAGCTATCTGGGGACCAGATATAATGACAGTCATACAGAACCACTTTTATTCAACATATGTAAAATGTGATAACATTTTAAATAAGCGACCTGCTTAATGAACCTTGATTGATATGAAGGGGAAGTGTCATTCTTTATGTCACTCCTGAAACACTTTTCTATCCAAAGGTTGGTTTGAGTCAGTATTGGCATCATACAAGCACTTACTATAAAAAAAGTTTATTAGTGGCAATGTGATAGAATTTATTCCCGATATCTGATGTTATAAACTTTAGGGTCCCTAAAATATGCAGGATCCTTGTATGTAACCGGCATAAACCCCGTGAAGAGATAATTAAAGTTCTTGACAAAGCATAATAAGCACAATTTCAGCTAGCTCAATTCAGTTGTTGAGGTACTCTTACCCATTATTTGAGCTCTCTTAATTACTTTTGTGATTTCTTTGTTTCTTCCCACAAAGACCTGTAAAATAAAAAGCTTCCTTATTCATAAAAAATGTCAATAAAGTTAAAAAAATTTCTCTAACTGAAACATTATTTCCATATCTCTTGACCTTTTAGTACACATTTTTGTATATTCAGTTTTACTAAATCAAGTCAAACCTGTTCCAAGTAATGTGGTGTTATATGCGATAGGCTTCATTTAGGGTGGGGTGGCTAGGTTGCAATGCTTTTAAATCAAGGCTCCACCTCAGGAACCTAGGAATGTTAGGTGGGAGATTAGGAAGTCCATGGCTTGCCAAGAACTTCAGCTATTCCATAAACAATCTGATTACATATCCTGACTCTTGCACGCTAAACAGGTTATCCAAGTCTTAAACTTGATGCTTCTTTGCAGTATTGAGCCACCCTTTCCATGGACACAATCATGCATTTGTACATTTAAATACCATTTTCTATGAACAGATCAGTATGCCAAAAACCACTGCAAAGTCTCCTACACACACCTTGCCTTGACCTTCTGTACATTTCTAGTATTAAAGAATGGTGTAGGCAAAAAAAAAGATATATGTGTAAGAAAAAAAAGACATGCCGGGCGCAGTGGCTCACGCCTGTAATCCCCACATTTTGGGAGGCCGAGGCGGGCGTATCACGAGATCAGAGGATTGGGACCGTCCTGGCTAACACAGTGAAACCCATCTCTACTAAAAATACAAAAAAATTAGCCAGGCGTGGTGGTGGGCGCCTGTAGTCCCAGCTACTCGGGAGGCAGGAGAATGGCGTGAACCTGGGGGGCAGAGCTTGCAGTGAGCCGAGATCACGCCACTGCACTCCAGCCTGGGCGACAAAGTGAGACTCCGTCTCAAAAAAAGACATGCATAAAATGGTTTAATTTTAGGGAAGTAGATTTACATTTTATCTGAAAAGAATATCAGTATATAATAGGCCTTTGAAAGTTAGATGCATAGTTCTACGAAAGTGGTGCCTAAGAATAGTATGTCAATCGACACATTTTTTCCATAAAGAAACTGATTTTGCTAGACTACCTAATCACCAATTAACATCCTCTTGCACGGAAAAAATATGCTTGGTGACATGTTTAAATCACGCTTAAGAGTACTGAAGAGGAATGATCTTCAAATCAAATAGCTATTTGATTTAGTAATAACAACTAAAAGATGGGAATTTTCTTCTTGGCACACTTATTTTAAGCTCCAAGGTAATTCAATAGATTCAACATTTAACACGTGTATTCAACATTACACAATTTTTTTCTGGAGTGAAATGGCTCTGAATGCCTTACAGAATTTGCCCTGCTCTCCTTAACTCTCTTACTTGATCTATTAATACTTCTTTCTTCTTTTCCCCTTGTTCCTTCTGTGCCAGACCCACACACGTCTGCTGTAACTGAACATGCCAGGCACATTCTCCCTTTTAAGCCTTTTAACAGCTGCTGTCTCTGCCTAGAATACTCTTTCTTGGGCACACACAAAACTAGCTTCCTGGCCTCCCTCAAACTTCTGCTCAAACTTCACCTCCTTAATCATGTCTATCTGTCCCTCTTATTTAAAACTGTGACTCTACCACTTCTGATCTCCACATTTGATGCTCCTGGCCCCCCCTTTTTCTCCACAGCATTTATCACTAACATCCCATGTAATTTTCTTACCTATTATGTTTATTGCCCATTTCTCACCTAGAATATAAGCCTCAGCGTGGAAGAACTTTGTCTTTTTGTTGTTCACTGCTTATCCCCAGAGTCAGGAGACATGCTTGGCACATTGTAGGTCCGCAGTAAATATTTTTTGAATTAATAACGAGTATTTCTACCATCTGCTAGCTTACTGTTCATGCAGGAACTCAAATGTGTTTTAAGCATGTGGTATGTTTCAAAAGTCAAACTTCCTCCTTAAGGAGAACACTGTCATCTACTCCCCCTTTAAAAAAAAAATAGGAAAAAAAGTAAAACAAAACATCACCTTCTCATTTCCCCACCTCCAACAAAAAGATTGTTGAGTTTTCTAAAGAAATAATACAAATGGATAATGGAGATTTCGGTAGCGTGCTGAGCTTCATCAAAGCACTAAAACAATGCTGCTTGAGACTTCAGAGGCTCAACCAGGAAGTGCAACCCAGAGGGCAGGATTTCCTGCAGGACTTTGAAATCCAACCCGGTCACCTACCCTCGCGACTGCGTCCACGGACGGCACGAAAGCCAAGCGAGTCTCCCTGCCGAGCTACTCGCTTCCGCCGCCTCCCAGGCTGAGCTTTGCCCCGCCCACCTGAGTCCTTCGCCAGTTAGGAGGAAACGCAGCCGCTTAATGAACGGCAGAGTTTGGCTGGGAGATAAGGCTCGCGGGTCCCACCTGGCCTCCTCCCCAAGTCTAAGCGCGCTTTTCACCGAGGCCTCAATTCTGGGATTTGGCAGCTCTGCTGTGAAAGCCCAAGTGGGTAACCAACAGCCTGGAGGACCCGAGTGGATTCGTTTCTCTCTTCCTCCTCGGCCACTCAACTGCTTCTTGTAGCTGACCCCGCGGTGGGGATGAGTAACTCAACTCATTTCGGGCCCGCTTTCCTCAGAGGGCAAAGATGGGTCAGGGTGGGATGTTACATTGGTGTTGAGGCTCTTTGGATCCGTTTGGTGGGTATCGAGGACACTTGAATACCCGAGACAGGTTGCACCCCCCTGCCGGAGGCGCCCCGGCGAAGCTGCGCGGGTGATGCTCCCGGCCCCACCCACGGGGCGGGGCTCCGGCTCGGTCCGACCAGTGCCCGCGGTGGGGGAGGGCGATGGATCAGGCCACGCGCCAGGGGCGAGCGCGACTCTCCTGCTGCTGCTCCCTTCCCAGCCTGGAAGGCGCCCTCTCTCTCTATGCCACCCTTTTCACGGCACTGAAAAGCCCCGTCCTCTCCGTCCAGTCCTGCCTCCTCCGAGTGCTCCCCTACTGCCTGGGATGGTGCGGTCCCAGGTCGCGGGTCACGCGGCGGAGGGGGGCGTGGCCTGCCCCCGGCCCAGGCGGCTCTTCTGTTTGCCTCTGCTGGCGTCCCAGGAGTGGCGTTGGTCCCCGGAGCGATGCTGGGTCGGAGTCGCCTCGCCTTAGTCCTCCTGGCTGCCGCCGTCAGCTGTGCTGTCGCGCAGCACGCGCCGCCGGTGAGTGAGCTTGAGCCGAGGCGCAGAGAGGGGCGTGCAGGTGCGGGCGCGGATGGAGGCGCAGGTGTGGCGGGGCGGGCGGGGACGAGGAACACCTGGTGCTGGACAGCGTCTTTTCGGGGGTCTGCGGTTTCGTGCACGGGGATGTGGGTTCAAAGCGGGCTGGTGAACTCCGTCCTCGGTTGATTCGGTGCTACCTGGATGGAACTAGAACACCTTTAAAGGAAATCCTGATCTCTGCAGGATACCTGGAAGTGATTCGCATATTCGCAAATTTGAGTGAGTGTACTTGGATAACCAGTTCCAGGCCCTTGCATTTTGAACTGTTTAAATAAAATGTTCCGGTAGACCTGTGTGCGTTACTCACTCAAGGACAAACTGCCTGATGGCCAGGTGCTTTCTTCCGAAGTTCAGGAGCTCAGCTCAGGATACTGCAGGGCCCTGGGAAACGCTGAGTGGCCCCAAGCCTGGGCAGTGCTAGCAGCCCTGGGCATGCCCCATAGGGCCCCCTGTGGCCTTTTGCACCCAAGTCATGGGATCGCCTGTCCCGTGGCTCTTTCCCAAGAGCAAGTCACAGGGCCACGGACTTCCTAACTGCGAGAGACAGTGAGGGACTAGCGTGACCCTTTTATTTTACACAAGAGGAAGTAGACCTAGAGTGAGAAAATCTTTAGCCAGAGGTTACACTATTGTTTACTGAACATGCCTAACGCCCGAGTACTCTTGACGCTAGTACTCTTTCATAATTCATTTCTTTATAAAGCAGTCAGACTGCGTTTGCCTTTGCCAACAGACCGGATAAGTAGGAACCTGGCGCATCTGGCCTGAGGCTGAATATGAGATGGTCTTGAATAGCTTAGGTAGGTTATTGAAAGTGGAGGCAAGATGTACTTTCTCTTCTTTTATACCTGTAAGGAGAAATTCTTTAAAATCATGTTGGGATATGACTTAGCCTTTAAAACTGATATAATGTTTAGCAGATAAAAGTAGAATCCAGAATAGTATATACAGTTTTTCTTGTAATAGAAAAATGCACAGAACATATATGCGGACTCGATTGAAAGGCCGTAAAATAAAATTGCTCTACCGTGGGTAGGGAATTAATTTGCTTGAGGGTAGTTGGTATTACCGGAATTTTGAAAGAGTTTGATACTTTGCTACTGTCAGGGCCCTTCATTCAAAGACCACCAGGAACACACTATGAGTTGAACAAATTGGGTTTAGTGTTCTTTGAGGCAAATAAGAACACACACCATGAGTGACGGTGGATTATAGAAAAAAACCCATTACAGAATTTGAACTTTGGTTGCATGATTTGGGGTAAGACTAAGGAACCGGGCTTTGCTGTAGATAGAATGCTGTTAGACGAGTTGATGGGTGCAGCACACCAACATGGCACATGTATACATATGTAACAAACCTGCACGTTGTGCACATGTACCCTACAACTTAAAGTATAATTAAAAAAAAAAAAAAAAGGCAATTCTATGATTAAGGAAGCAATAGACATTCTACTTAGCAAGAGAAGGGGATGCTTGGTGTTTTGTGCGTTGCAGGTGACCTTGTTTTTGTCTGTGCTTGGACAAAATCCTCAAGTGGCATTGCTTTGTCTTTCTTTGTCACGTCTCCAAATAATCTTATCCGAGGTAGCTATCTGTGAGATTGTTTATGTCCAGGAGGAAAACAGAGCTTACCGGGCTGTGAGTGTCAGATGGGCTTGTAATAATATTGAGATATAGCTGTGGAACTCAGAGCAGTTTCAGGTGTTGGAGGCTGTTTTTTCTTCTTTCTCAATAGCTTTATTTATTCTAGCAAAAGTATTTTGATAGCTATTTTCAGAAGAAGAATCAACAACCTCTCAATGGATGTAATAGTTCTTACCTAGAACAGCGATTAGCAAAGTCTAGTCTGGCCACTGGTGTCAGTTTGGGAAGCTGTTTTCAATGAAATCAGAAAAGTAAGAATGCAAAACTAAAATTATTAATTTAGAATGTTAATCTTTATTCTGATTGTATGGACTTCCAGTTTTCATTGTTACTAACACGTTCTTAAAAATCAGCTAACGGCAGAGGTAGATGTTGTGGGCATGGAATTTGTTTTGTTTTAACATCTCCATTTGACAGAATAAAAATTTGGACCCTCCTGTGCCAAGGCCTCATTAATTTTTTTTACTGGCCTGGAGAATCCTGGGATCCATGGGCCAAAAGGACCTTTAGAACCTTAGAGAAGTTCCGTGACTTCATTCTCTGAGAAGAAGAAGCAGTTTTGTGGTTGGAGTCGTTATATGATAAACTATTGCCTCGTGGTAGCAAAAGATATTTCAAAACTACTTTTGATAAATATGAATAATGAGAACTGGCTTTAAATTGGAAACAAGTCATTTGATTTGGAACATCTGTAGGGATTTTTTGTTTGTTTTTGAGACTTTTCACAATATTCATATGTTAAGGTCCTCCTGAGTTTTTCTTCGTTATTGAATTTTTTAGGAGCCTATTAAGAGATGATGGTGAAGACAGTGGCACAAGAACTGTCTGGAGAGACAGCACCAGATGACATCATCCAGGGTTCTTTAGACTCTTACTAAGGATTCAGAAATTTATCCTAAAAAATGGGAGAATCTGGAACCAGCCAATGGGAGGCCATTAAATGGTTTTAGCCAAGATAACATTTTCACTTTAAAAAGATGAGTCTGGATTGGAGGGCAGCAAGGGTAGATGTGAGGAGACTGGTCTAGAAAAGAAACAGGGTGCATTGAAGGATGGTGGCACCAGGGGTGAGGGAGAGAAGTAGATGTTCTAGAAAAAAATCAGGAGGGCAAATGAGCAGAAGGAAGGATTGGGTGAGGATGAGGGAGTGAGGTGTCAGCGTGACCTGCACATTACCGAAGTGCTTCACTGGGCGAATGGTGGCATCAGTGCCAGGGAACATGGGGAGGGGAAAGCTTGGGGGCTAAAGAATGGGGATCGTTTTCATTTGGGGTATGTGTTAAATCTCAGGTGGCAGAGAAACATTCAGCAGGCCACTCGTACTGGCCCTCAGAAGAGAGACACTGAGAGTCATTGGCATAATGATATTATTTGAAGCCCTTGGAGCAGATGAACTCACCTAGAAAGAGGACTAGAGAAAGAGAAGAAAAGAGAACTAGGCAAAGGCTAAGTAACTTGCACATGTATGTGTCAGGAAGAGGAGAAATTGCCAAAGTTAAAACAGGGCAGGCTGGGCACGGTGGCTCACGCCTGTAATCCCAGCACTTTGGGAGGCCAACGCGGGTGGATCACCTGAGGTCAGGAGTTTGAGAACAGCCTGCCCAACATGGGGAAACCCCATCTCTACTAAAAATACAAAAATTAGCTGGGCATAGTGGCTCAGGCCTGTAGTCCCAGCTACTCAGGAGGCTGAGGCGGGAGAATTGCTTGAACCTGGAAGGCAGAGGTTGCAGTGAGCCAAGCCTGGGCAATGAGGGAAACTTCCTCACACACACACACACACACACACACACACACACACAGCAAAGCAAAACAAAACAGAAGAGTAAGTGGGACAGGAAGTTCAGGGAAGAGACTAGGATGGGTTAACTATGTTGAATATTATTGAGATGTCAACAGTATTATGATACTAGGCAACTGGAGGTCATTGGTCACCTCGGCCAGAGCAGTGTTGGGGGCAGAAAATAGCTTGCAGTAGGCTGAGGGTGATCGGCAGGAAAGGAACTAGAGGGGAGAGATGGCTGCTCTCAGTAATAAGTCTGACCCACTTCTTTTATTTTTATTTTTATTTTTTATTATTTATTTATTTATTTATTTATTTTGAGACGGAGTCTTGCTCTGTCACCCAGGCTGGAGTGCAGTGGCCGGATCTCAGCTCAATGCAAGCTCCGCCTCCCGGGTTCACGCCATTCTCCTGCCTCAGCCTCTGGAGTAGCTAGGACTACAGGCGTCCGCCACCACTCCCGGCTAGTGTTTTGTATTTTTTTTTTTTTTTTTTTTGAGAGGAAGTCTTGCTCTGTCGCCCGGGTTGGCCTGCAGTGGCCGGATCTCAGCTCACTGCAAGCTCCGCCTCCCGGGTTTACGCCATTCTCCTGCCTCAGCCTCCCGAGTAGCTGGGATTACAGGCGCCCGCCACCTCACCCGGCTAGTTTTTTGTATTTTTTTAGAAGAGACGGGGTTTCACCGTGTTAGCTAGGATGGTCTCGATCTCCTGACCTCGTGATCCGCCCGTCTCGGCCTCCCAAAGTGCTGGGATTACAGGCTTGAGCCACCGCGCCCGGCCTGTATTTTTTTTAGTAGAGACGGGGTTTCACCGTGTTAGCCAGGATGGTCTCGATCTCCTGACCTCGTGATCCGCCCGTCTCGGCCTCCCGAAGTGCTGGGATTACAGGCTTGAGCCACCGCGCCCGGCCCTGACCCACTTCTTAAGATGTGTGAAGATGAAACATAATGGCTTAGTAATTAATTGCCAAAGTAAACTTATTTTTATGCATCAACTTCTCATATGAGTTAACAGCATATGTCAACATTGTTGACATTGGCTATTGAATCAGCTTTAGCAATGATTTTCACACAGTTGCCAGAAATCTCAGACCGCATCTGGCCGAGGAATTTATTGTGCTTCATCTGCTTTTCCCTACTTCTCCCAAAGAAGGAACACACAGGTGTAATCTTTTCACTTATTCAACAAATACTGCTTGCCTACTATGTGTGCCTGACTCCTACATGCTGGGAATGC